CTATACAGTAATAATTATTAACTAACAGCATAGACTGTTCGCAGTGAAGTAACACAGTGCACATGCCTGTCCTACCTCTGACTTGTTGTGTAAACAGTGAGATAGTAAAAGTTTTGGCAACATTAGCATACGGCACTTTGCAGAAATGTGCATGGAGTGACATTCAAACTCTTCCTTTTCTCGGCCAAACTGAACTTACACCATGTCAACAACGAGCCTGCACACCACTGCTGCAGTCTGCCACAGGTACACACCGCTGACAAGTTCTCTGACACACACACTGGTTGTATTTTACACGGTTTTAAACTTGATTCGCACCAGACTAAAGCAGCACTTATGCTAACCCGCTAGCATGTCCAGCGAATGACAGCCGATGTTGCTGTGGACATCATATGGAAAAGACGCCTGATGTGGTTTTGAATGTCCCAATTCGTCTAAACAGAAATAGAAACAAAATCATCATTAATAAACACTTCGGTAAGGGTCGGTTCCTCTTCTGCAGAGCGCTGAGTGTCGAGTCGCCGGCATGGAGCCGAGAGCTGCCGGGTAAGTTTCAGGCAGTACCAGCTAACAACACGTTGTTTGTTAAGTTTAGCGCCGGTACACACGGACTGAGAACACACTGACCTGCCGGGCCTAACGGCTGCTGCTGCCCGTCCTCCCCGAAGATCAGGCGGAAGTCCAGCTCCTCGGTCCCGGGGCAGTTTGCGGTAGTCATCGGGTTTGACAGCTCGGGGTTTTCACCCCCCCGCCACTCGACCGTCGACCGCTGGAGCAGTTTTCGCTCTCCGAGAACCTCACCACATTTACCGGCTGACTTCAGCTGTTGTTCATGTCACTTCCTAACTGTTGACGAGCCCGTGTTTTCTATTCTTCCTTCTTTTCTTTCTTTTATTTCCCGCTCAACAAAACCCAGAAAACACAGCGCGCTGCCTCCGCTTCCTCCGGCAGCTCACCACCCGAAACGCTGCCTTCAACTTGGGTCAAACTCGCCTGCGCTTGTCTCCGTGTCTCTCGCTGCTCCACAACATCAAGTGTTGTGTGTCTGTGCAGCAGTTTAACGAGCGATATGAAATCCAGCGAACTCTCCCTGCAGTTATCCCGTTATCTCTCTCCCTCTCTCTCTCTCTCTCTCTCTCTCCGTAGCTGCTATCCCAACTTTTACTAACCCCGCGTGACAAGGCAGTTCCAGCGGTGACGTCAGCAGACACAACACAGGGCACGCGCGCACACACACAGACACAAACACACAGACACACACACAGACACACACACACACAGACACACACACACACAGACACACACACACACAGACACACAGCCCATCAGTGAATAAACAGTTACTAAAGCCTTAAAGTGCCTGGAGTGTATTGTTTTCAAATGTGTTGTATATTTATTTTTTGCTTTTGACCAGAGGTCCATGACCAGGTATATAGGAACATTATTCTAAAATTGTACATATGAAGATGAACTTTATTGATCTCACAAATTCACTTGTGAGAGCAGCAGATAGTCAGAATGATCAAATAGGAAATACAAAATCCTATTAGATTTCAAAAAATAGTGAATACGATTTGTAGACGTATGAAAAAACAGATGATCGCACAAGGACTTACACTGAAGACACATTATAATATATGATAAAATAAAATGTGATCAAAAATGGTATGTGTATGTGAATTTCACAATTATAGGCATACATATAGAACAATTTCACATTATACAGATACAAATTCAAGTAATGTGCAAGAGGACATGTTAATCAAGAGTGGTGCTTGTCTTATTATTGTGTTATTAATTTTTTGAGAACCAAAATGTAAGCATCTGATTTTTTCAGTTCTTTACCATTTTTCTTTATCTAGTTATCTTATTCTTTTCCTCCATTAGATTTCAGCCAACTGCCTCAACCCCACTTCTTTGTGTGGCTCCAATCCGAGCCCGGATTGTAAGTATTAATGACACAATGCACTTTTTACCTTTAGATCCCAGGAGCCTGTCAGCACAGAGGTCCATTAATTTCTAATCAGCCAATTTAGGCTGGTGAATGGGGCTAGACTGTGGTTAGAGAAGAGCAGACATCTTGACCAACCACATTGTTGCTTGGATCATTGATGGTGCAGCCTAAATAACACTTTTAAAATGTTGTTTGTGTTCCCTGAGTAAAAGCTTTTAGTTTCTGCCCAAACTGTATATTTAAATAGTGTTATACACATGGTGGGACTGGGATGTTTTTAAGGAAGTTAAGGAAACTACATTATTTAGACCAAAGGTTTTATAATGGCTGAAATGTTGTGACCTATCTGTATGGACCAGTTAAAATGCAATGTGTACTCCTCGTGCCTGTATTTATAATGAGAAACTTTTAAATGTTACTTATGTGGATTTGCTTCTTGATTGCACAGCACACTCATGCCTGCAATGCCTTTATTTCATTGATGGTTTAAATATCAGTGCTATTCTGAGAATGCGTTACATTCAGTTCAATCTAAGGCCAGAATGATAGTTCCTCCTGTGCAGTGTACACGGTCTGTTCCACTCCCTCTAACCTCTGTGTCTCTATCCAGCTCATGAATCTTCTCAGGTTAATCTTTATTAGCAACACAGCGGTTGATGTGCTCTAAACCTCCAAAGTGTTGCCACTTTAATGATCCTCTTGCCTCACAACCTCTTGTTAGCTGGGGAAAGCTGTTGTTGATCCAAAGTAATGGCGGGGTGTGAGGCCCCCCTACCTGTACTGCAAACTGATTCACTCACCTGACCACTGGTGCCCGGGATCACTTACACACAAGCACAAAACAGACACACACATGCACACACACACATTTATACTTGTGGCTGATCAGGAACATGCCTTTATCAACCAAATAATGTTTCAACACACACCGATAGCTGAGTTGTAAAACATCCTAAATTTTTATCATGTGCTTTACTGCGATCATATACTGCCCATCAAAGATTACTGACATTGAAAATAATATTTTGGGCTTTTATGGTCAAATTACAATTGAAGAAACACATGAAAACACATTTTCTATTTTCAAGCTCGACCAAGAAAAAAAAGTCTGTATTTATTATACTCCTGAAAATAACTTCAACTGCAAGTGAATATTTTGATGTAAATCAGTCCATCCTCAAGACAAATAACATCTGCTGCAGAGAACACCTTCTCATAGCCACGTTATGTATGTGCTAGATGCATGTGGGCGTACAGACGCTCAGCTCACAAATGCATCTGAAAGCATCAATATCACATTTCCTGTGGCCTTTAGTTCCAAGCAAACACACAGGGTTTAACCCCTTTTTGCCATCTTTTGAAGCAATTCACTCACAACAGACAAGACCCTGCAACATGGTTATTCCTCTCAAAACTGAAAGAGCGTGGACTAAATCAGAATAATTGTATCCTGCCATTTTAGACTGTTCCCATCCATACAGAGATCTGATGAATAACACAAATGATTCTATTTCACTCAGAACATTTGCTGTAACTGACAGAACAGAAGCCCAAATATTTTACATAAACTGGTGTTAGGAAATACGTTTATGAACTACAATTCAGTGATACTGTGACTTTCATAACCTTTATAAGCAAGTCTCATATGATTCTGACTTACAATGGAAAAGAGAAGCAGAACAAATGTGACTGGAACATCCTCTTGATCCGTGATTCTTGACTTGTTGCAACATATGAGTCAGTTGTTCATCAAACAAAAATATAATTCAATCAAGCAAAATTACTGAGTCAAAATCATTCTTTAAAAATTGTACAAGCACATTAAAGCTTTGACTTTCCCAATATTTACAGTGAAATGGAATTTGTAACTTGATTGAAAGACACAAGGTTTATGTTGTAAAGAATCCAAATGATTCTTTATACCCAGACTGTAAATTTACCTTTGAATGATAATGATTTGACTGGTTTTAAATTATTATCATATTTCTCTGTGGCAAAAACACCACTTGACTGAACTTTCTTCCGTGCGACAGGCGTGTCTCCAGACCCACCCGAGTCTAATTCAGGTTACCTGCGTCTCTTATCTTTGCAGATGACCTTTAAAGAGGAGAGATAAAAAAAAGAAAGAGAAATCATGTGGGAGGCTGTAGATGTGGTTTATGATATTATGTGCTCGCATACAAAGTTATGAGGGGGAGAAAAAAATGCAGCATCTGCCCCCACACTGGTCTTGTTTGAGAGGTGTCATTCTTTCAAGGATTGGGGTTTGCACAGAAATGCAGTGCAGCACTTTGGCACTGTGTGATGTTCTGTAAATGTCAACAAATATCATATGGCACTGTGACTGAATGTCAGCTGTTAATGAATGAAATGCTGACTGAGGATATTACACTGTTCAGTAGAAATAATAATACTATATGTTATATATGTTAATTTAATTGTGTGGTTCTCTGAGGCAGAGTGAAAATGGGAAAAATATGATAAATAATCGGTCATTTATTGAAGTTTTATTGTAGAAATGGAATTTATTTGTGTCTTAGTTCAAATATTATAGACTCAGAAGAAAAGTGCATGAACTTGCTCTCTTCAGATGACTTGATATCTTCCTCGTTGGTTCATGCTGCCCCCTATTGGTCAATCTGTGAGACTGAATATTGACTTGTCTGAACAGCACAAACAGCACAAACAGCCCATAATCCGAATTATTTGAAACTTGAAATACAGTGGGAACTAAACTCATTTAAGTTTATGTTTATTTTTGCATGTTGCATCACATGAGTTCACATAAGTAGCCATTATGAAGATAATATCTTTTTTAATATAAATATTTTGTATTATTATGTTTCACTAATACAAAAAAGTACAAATACATGAGAAAATTGCTTAGAAACAAATAAAAACACTGTCATTGAAAAAATAATAAAAGACGAAAAACACAAAACAGAAATTTATATAAGATCTCTGATTACAAGAATAAAAACTAAAGGTAAAGCAATTATATATCCAGCTCACTTCTTTCATTAATCACATGCCACAGCACTGGTTTGGTCAACATGTGACTGAGAGTCTGTTTCTGAAAGTGTGTGTGTGAGTGTGTGTGTGTGTGTGTGTGTGTGATGAGGCCACAATGAATCAATGGGTGAGCTGATTCATTCAGCACATGGCTGATGTAGCTGATGTACGATCAATGCTAGATGTGACAGCGCCACTGATGCAGACAGCTGATTTTTTTTTATACAGGGTATACACATGACTGACCTTTACAGAAAATAATATTATGTGAACCCTCAAAATAAATGAATGAAAACATTCCCATCATGCAGCCGGAGAGAATCAGGGACAGGCTGCAGAAACTCATGCCCCCCTTTGGAGCCTCTCTGGATGCATGCCTGGTGAGATTAGTGTCCTTTTTTATTGGTTTATACTTTCCAGTGGTGAAGCAGCAACAGTGGATTATCCCCCTGTGAACCCCAGCAGAGGCGTGCTGAAATTATGCCTGTCTACCTTTAAGTTGTCACTTACAAAGCAAGGACTGAGCAGAGGAATAAGCCCCATAGCAATAATAAGAGAACGTGTAGACCTGCTTTATTTAACACAATTTTCAGATTAATACAAGTGTATTGATATGAATTACATTATGTCTTCGGGCTCAGTCTTTGCTCATGAGGTTTGACCAGAACTCAGACTCATTTGGATTGTTACTGACAATCACTGTCAATGACAGGTCTCTTCCTCGTCCTTCTCTGGTCTATTACAGTCTCTGTAATAGGTCACTACTGTTCTGCAGGCAGTGCTGAACACTAAAGACCACTGATCAGCTAATTGATTTGCCAGAACAGGAATACAGTGTACTAAGACTCCAAAGTACACACAATGATCAGGTTAGGGAGGGACACACACTCTGCTCAAGCCTCAATAGCTTGACTGGCTGTCATATACTTACTCCATTTTAAAGCTGATATTTATCTATACACATATAATCATTTAACCTTGTAAACCTTAATACTCTTACTTGCCAATTTGTTAGGGACACCCAACTAAAACTAATGAAGTCTGTTGCACCAGTCCTGCAATGAATCCTACCTTCAGGGAGGTGAGTTTTAATGTTCATTTTGTTTTGAAACTATTTGGAGAATGTAGATTGTGCTGCTGTTGAACTATGTTGTAATATATCGATAGGTGTGTATTGATTGATATAACTGGGGTGGACAAAGTAACAGAGATAATTGTCGGTTTAACACAATATATTTCAACAGCTCCACAAAGTAAAGCCTCTCAAATTACAAAATCAATTAACACCTAAAAGAGCTTCAACTCAAAGTGAACTTTTCAACCAGCATCAAGTTCAGATGAATGTCTTACTTTGGTACTCAGGCAAAGTGACAAGTAGGTGCATATTATTAGCCTTATATAACATACTATATTTACTTTATTCAAAAAATCTCAAGGAACATAAAACATTACAATTATTAAATATTTTGTTTACAGACATACTTATAAACTTAATCTGTGCTCAATAATTAGCATATGTTTCAATATTATTTGTCGATCAATAAATACATTTCCATGTTGTAGTTATTGTTTGGAGTAGATCATTGCCATGGACTTGTTATAAAATATGTTCTTTGTTTCTTGTAGATACTACTACTACTACTACTTTTTCTTATTCTTATTACTAGTATGGGAATAATATTTAATCATTAGGCAACATTAGCAGAAATAAAATCACTTTTAAGAAAAGGTTGAGAATTAAATCAAACTAAAATTATTATAATAGCCAGTTGGATCAGAACCAGGAAGGGAATAAAAAACAACTTTGTGTGTAAAAGGTTAAAACGTTTTTAAAAAGATCTCAAGTCCGGATAAAGCACATTTTAAATAAGGATTATGTAAGAGACAGGACATTGAGTTCATCACACGGATCTCATCAAGCATATTGTCCGAAATGTCTCTTTGTATTTCTACCATTTATAATCTACATGTTGCCTTTCCACAAACGTCATCACTGCACGCCCACCTAACGTCATCCATACTCGCCGAGGAAGCATGGCGACTTAGGTGGCAAGCGGCGCGGGATGCTAACGGGTTTACGGTGATTTCTTTACGTACAGAAAGACTTTTACAGATTCCCAGTGAGTTGAACTGACACCACCTCCACGCGTTAGTCGATCATTCATATTTGTATGCTGTGACGAAGCGGATATCGGGCCGCTGGAGCACCATGACGCAGTGTGTGAAGGTCGCCTCTCTGGCTCTCTGCTCGGGCAGGATTTCCTCCCCTCAGCTTCTCGCTGCTCGCTGCCGGGTTGTTTGCTCTGTCGGTCACACTCGTTTCTGTCGGACATCCTCCTCAGAGGAGGTCGCGGTCATCCGCGTTCCTCGCTCCATGCAGAAGCTCGCCGACAGCGTGAAGCAGACACGAAGCAAAAACAAGATCAGCACCATCCGGGCAGGCAAGCTCCTGATCCGGAGCAGGAACCCGGACCTCAACCAGTCTGCGGGGTACCTGCTCGGCAAGTTTGAGCAGCCTCGCCTCTGCTCCAAAGGATGGAAACATCCCAAATCCTTCGGCGACTACTTCACCATCAACAACACCAAGACCGTCGCACCCTGTGTCACTGTCCGGGAGGAAGCAGAACAGGAAACAGCAGTGACCTTTGATAGCCTCCATATCTGCAGGGAGCTTGTGGAAGCGCTGCATGGAGTCAACATCACCCATCCCACCACTGTGCAGCAGCAGACCATCCCAAAGGTCATGATGGGGCACAATATTCTTTGTGCGGCAGAGACGGGCAGTGGTAAAACTTTGAGTTACCTCCTGCCCGCCATTCACAGACTGCAGGCGGATAGGAAATCACAGAGGTTCCCTGGGAGCTCGCACAAAGTTCACACCCTGGTTCTCGTGCCTTCCAGAGAGCTGGCAGAGCAAGTGGCCGCTGTTTCCCGGGCCCTGTGCACCCCGTTCGGCTTGCTGACGAGGACTCTTGGTGGTGGGCGAGGTGTGGGACACATCAAGGTGGTCTTCAAGAATAATCATCCAGATATTTTAGTGGCCACGCCAGGTGCTCTGGTCAAGGCCCTGCGGAGACGCTGCCTGGACTTTGGTGAGCTAAGCTTCTTTGTGGTGGACGAGGCCGACACCATGTTCGACCCTAGTTTTTCCGAGATGCTGGAGAGCATCCTGAGCCATGCAAACATTGCCAGCAATCCCAGGCAAGCACAGGGCCTGGGGCGCAAAGCCCAGTTGCTGGTGGTGGGGGCTACCTTCCCCGGTGGTGTCGGGGAAGTGCTCCGCCAGGTGACTGACCTCGGCAGCATGGTGGTCATCAAGAGTAAGATGCTGCACTTCCTCATGCCGCACGTCAAGCAGACCTTCATGAAGGTGAAGGGTGAGGACAAAATCCTGGAGCTCCATCAAGCCCTGAAACTGCTCCAACAAGACAAAGGAGGGGGCTCTGTTCTGGTGTTCTGCAACAAGTCTGCCACCGTCAACTGGTTGGGCTACTCCCTGGAGGAGATGGGGGTTAAGCATTTACGTCTGCAAGGGGAGATGCCGGCCGCCGTGCGTGCAGGAATCTTCCACTCTTTCCAGAAGGGCACGGCGGATGTGCTGATTTGCACAGACATTGCCTCCCGCGGCCTAGACACATCGCGTGTGCGCTTGGTTGTCAACTACGACTTCCCAGAATCTCACACTGACTACATCCACAGGGCTGGCCGAGTGGGGAGAGCAGGTGGGGTGGAGGATGGGGAGGTACTCAGCCTGGTGACTCATCCGTGGGATGTGGAGCTGGTGCAGAAGATAGAGACTGCCGCTCGTAGGAGAACTATTTTACCGGGGATGAATTCTGAAATCGATGAACCAAAATCCAAAGTACTAGAGTTAGAAGAGTAGAAGACATTTGTAAGAAGGTACATACGTGGAAAAGCTGCCTGTGAAATTTACCATTGTGTGTAATGTTGTGACACGCCAATTTTGCACACACTTATGTATGATGATGGTATGATTTTCTGCAGGAAAAGTAAACAAGCACTCACTCAACAGTGTGATGTTCCATAATTTTGAAGCACTGTCAAGCCAAGTGTCTAATGTAAATGATTGTTTGCACAAATGATTTTGCTGGGCAGTTACTTTTTTTTCAGCATCTAATGCAGTATGTGTGTTAAAAGGTTTTAAATTAAAAGTAAAACCTAAATGCATTTTCTTCTCATCTTGTTTTGTTTACATCAGCTTTGAAACAAAACCTTTAATGTTTGATATTATTAGAACGTATCGGCCAAATTCTCCATAGAAAAAATAGGATTTGATTTTAGATAGCACAGTTCTGTTTTTTAAAGATGTGTTGTCTGTTATTTTGTCTTTTGGATGCAAACACCTGGTTGGTGTTAAGTTATTAAGATGTGGAAACAAAACAAATCCTGCATCTGTCCCCTGATCTGGATCTGCAACGAAATGTAATGGGTTCTCTTCGGACCCATACCACATTCTTCCACCAAGTTTCTCGGATATCCGTTTAATAGTTTGACAAACCAACAAACAAACTGGACAGGGGTGAAAACATTACCTCATTGGTTGAGGTAATTGTGAAAATTATTAAATCAATTACAGTCACTCTCCAACAGGGAAATTACGGAGACACTTAACAATATATAGAAAGTGGAAGGCACACTAAGAGTAAGGTTGCCGGCACTGCCTGCTACAACTTTGCAACTTGTATGTCCTACATTGTAGTAGGACAAACTTATTTGAGAATAATTTGGAAATCAATTTGAATCATTTTTACCTCTGTGTTATCTTTTTCAGTGATGTATGTTGTATGTATATATTTTGGCCACAAGGTGGTGGCATTTTTCTGACTTCAGCTCATGCAGTACATTACCTGTACAGTCGATAGGTATTTGCTTTATATTTAGTACAATTATCTCAGCACACGGTCACTAATAGATGTCAAATGGTCACCTGCTAGTTTCTGAAAGGTTAAGTGGATTTTAATGTAACTTCAGCTGTAATCATTCATCTCCAGTCAACACACTGAACGCAGGGCAACACTTGTCATCTCTGCAGTTGATGTGGTAGGTCTGCTGCACATGAACAGACGTTCCCCTCCTTCCATGCCTGTGGGTGCTTGTTGAAAGGAAACCACAAAAGTGTCAACATGACAATCTGCCATGAGTGACGGAAATCTTTAGGATCTTATTTCAAAGGAGAAAATCTTTGCTGTTGTGGAAACTGATTCAGTGTGTTTCTTTTTTTTGTTATGGACAGATGACAAAAATCTTCAGAGCAGACGTTCCTGCCCCGGAAACATTGCATTGTCTTATTTTGACATGGCTGTTTGTAGTGCTGTCATGTTACACACCTGATGATTTATGCTGAAAGTGCTTGTGGAAGTTTGGAGATTATAGAAGCAGACAGACCTGAGTGTGCCACAGACGCAGGGACAGTGTTAACAGCTCTGATGGTAACAAGGGGGCTTCCAGCAGAATGTCTGGAATTCAGCTGTGATTGTCCTGCTCCTGCTGGGGTCAGAAACTTTAAGGCTTTGCCCCCCACCCCTAGGTTCACATTTCACCCAACTGTACCCTGACAACAAGGAGCCAGTGTCCACTTATAGCATGTGAAGCAACTGTCTCCAGTGCCTCAACTTATATTTTGGTCCTGTTTTAACCCAACTGACCCCAGAAAAATCTAAATAATTAAAAACGCTATCAAATGTATCGTTTCCTAAAAGCATCTGAAGTTGATCTTCAGCCACAGATCTTAGCCTGAAAGCGTCACTCCACCAATTTCACACAGTACATCCAGTTTCCTCATCACATTAAGTTATCCACAGTCTGTGGATGTAGTTTCATGTGTCTGTGGCTCTGGGGCAGCTTGAGATATACTAATACATTGTAAGTCTGTTCTAAATCCCTATATTTAGCATCCATAGGCAGCATATAAACATCATTATCTACAGTTTAGGCAGAATTAAGTATTATTAATGTATTTATTAACAACTATAACTCGCCCTGTGGATACATAAATGGAAGCTGGTGTATTCAATGTGTCCTTACAGCTGCATGCAGCTACATTATTACTTGAGATAAGCCTTTTATTGAATGTTGGTATTCTGCAAATGGATTCTAAACACAGGAACTTTCTCTTTGCAGAGAAAGTAACATTAATCAGGTCATAGTGATGTCATGATACGAGACAATCCAGGTTATATACTTGGAGGGGAGTTTGGAAACCCATTCATGGTCCAATGTTCAAATTACACACATGTGATGTGGAAATCCCGAACTTCCAGTGCAGACAATCAGACACTGAGTGTGGACTTTCAGTAGTGGAGGAAAAACCTTGTGTTCAGCAGTTAAACTTTTGAATCAAATAATATTTACATAGTTTGTGGATTTCTCAATGACGGGGAGAGACAAGATGTAATTTTAAGATTTTCTCTCGGGGGAGAAAACCATATCAGACACAAATTCTAATTCCAGCAGATTACAGTGTTTCTACATCTCCTAACCTTTGTCAGGATGATGTCTCCTCTGCAACTGGTTCCCTTCTAAATCACTGGAATACTCATCTTTGAAGCTTTTGGGCACTTGCACAAATAATTAGTATTTCTAAATGTCCTCTCACGTGTTTGGGCCAGTGGTGATGTTTGGATGTTAGTCAGCAGGATTACAAGAACTACTGGTCACATTACCACACATTTTAGTGGAAGGAGGCTGTATGGGTCAAGAGAGAATCAATAATTATTTATTTTTTTCTAGTTTTTATTTATTATACCCATTTATTGTATTTTATTATATTGCTATGGGATGCACATTTGGAATGGGAATGCACATTTAACATGGGTATCCTCTGATGTTAATTAATAAAATGAAATATGCTGAGAATGTCTCATGTGAGGTGATTGATTTTATTTTCAAAAGTATACAAAAATTCAAATCTACTATCAATCAATATCAGGAGATTCAGACCCATTATTTGTAGTCCCTGTTGACATGGAGACGAGTAAATGGACTACAAAGCATGTGGTCCATTAATAATGACGCATTTCCTCTTTCCCACTGTAGGATTATTCCCCCCTCCTCATTCACACACTCACACACACTCACATACACACACACACACACACACACACACACACACACACACACACACACTGTCCGGCCCCTCGGATATTTGCCTGATCGCGGAGGAGGATATTTTCTTGCCGAGCAGCGGCTCTGTGTGTCGGCTCATGTGCATCTTCTCCGGGCGGACCTGCGTGAAATGCTCCAGCACAGGACCTGATCTGAAGGTAGGTGTACAACCCGCTAATCTGTTTATCGTGCTGCACACACACACACACAGATCTGTGTGCCTGACCTTCCTCTCGCTTTAGAATAAAACTGCACGATGTGAGAGAGAGAGAGAGGGAGTGAGAAAGATAGAGAGAGAGAGAGAGAGAGAGCCTTCTGTGCTGCTGGATGGAAGCCGCTCTCTCTGCGTCTTCGCTCCTCCGCTCCCCTTCTTCTCTTTGAATGGATCGCTGCCTCAAGTTGTGTTTCGCTCGTTTCAATCAACCAAACTTGTGGAGCCTGTGATTGTGTCGACTTCCCCGGTGACATCGGCTCGGTTCTGGGTGGACTTTACAGAGCACGGGGCTGCAGCAGCAGGAGCTCACCCGGTGCGTAAAGATGGTCTTTTTCTTTTAGATAATCTGAACCCGCAGGGTTGAGGCAGCGTGTGGAGGCTCAGTTGGGTGGGTGGGTGTGCAGACAGAGTTCACACATGCAGGGCAGGGGGGGCTGCTAACCCAAGTTACACTGCACCGGCCGGAGAGGAGATCACACTCCGCCATGTTAACTTACCATCAAGCTGCCACAGGCGATTGTTTCCAACTTTTCTCTTTTTCGGTTTGATTTTACGCGCAGCCATGTCTGAAAAGCGCACAGACAAATGTGCAAAGCGTGGCCGCTGTGTGCGAGAAGCGATGTAAATGCACACATTGCTGCTTCACCACACTGGTAGTCATTACACAGCTTGCAGGAGGGGACCTATGTTTGCAGCCGTGGGCGTTTATTCCCAGCGTGATGTGCATGTGGCTGCCTTACTGCCGCTGATCACGGTCAAGGTGATCAGGAGACAGAGGGACATGATACAGACAATAACGCACGGTTACACTGCGGCACCAGGCTATAGGCTGTACAGCACATTGTATGAACTGAGGATGGCTGCATGGATCGACACCGCTGCCACACCCCTTCACAGAGAGACCATGGAGGCTCTGATACTCTGCACAGTTTCCACCGATCACATGTCTCCTCTGTTTATTATTGGTGCTGCAGAAATCATCCTGATCATCATCCGTGTCCTCACATCACTTGAATGTCACGTGCCAAGTTTGTGCACAGGGATGAATACACTCCATACTATTATAGCTGTGTGTGTGGATCAGTCAGCAGCCAGTAAATTACAGTGAGCCTGTGTGCGTGTACTTGTACTTGTGTCTTTTTGAAGGCCATTTTCAGCACATACATATGGAGTGAGAACATTTTGGCCGGTCCTCACATTTTTACGGGCTCTTTGAGGTAAGACCTGCTTTTAGGGGTTAAGTTAGGGGTTGATACATTCAACCAGACGCAGGTGTTGAGTAGACACAGATTCATATATTTGCCCCTAGGTTAGGGGGTAGGATCGCGGGTTAGAATGTGGAAATATATAGAAAGGGGGTAACTGAATAAGTAGGTTCTTATTGGTTAGAGTTAGGTCTGGATTATGGCTTTGCATTATGCCAATGAGTGTCCTCACTAAGTTGACCTCTTTAGGACCTTTTCCAGAGTAAATGTTGATCTTCTCAGGACCAGTAGACCTCATGAGGACCAAAGCCTGGTCCTAATGAGGAAAAGTGTCATTTCTGAGGTTCTGGTTTGTGGTGAGGTTTTGTTTTAGGCTGTTATGTTGTGTTCTAACAAGGATAGCATGTGTTTTTGTGTGTGTGTGTGTGGCCTGTGATCTGGTTGGGAGGCAGACGTGACAGGTCACATGAGCTGGGGACACTGGTGAAGCAAGAGAGATGGCTGCAAGAAATGTTTGAAATGCAAGTGAGTTTCTTGGGCAGTTTAATGGGCAAAAGAAAAACGGTCTGTATTTATTAAGCACTTTTCTAGTAGATAGATATATAGATGACCTTTATTGATGCCAGTTGGGAAGTTGCTGTGTATTGAGTATTGATGACCACTCAGTGCAGTGCAGTATGAGTAGAAATAAATCGACCCCCGATGCCCCCTCTTCTCTCTCTCT